GTTCCCCCACATTTTACACCTTGTCTCCCCTGTTGACATTTTATGTACCAATTAATGAACTGATATTGACACATCATTATTAACTAAAGTTTACACATCACTCACATTCCCTTAGTTTCACCTAAGGTCCTTTTTCTGTTCATGGGTCACCTTGGGCTCTATATGTTTCTTACCATTTCTCAGACTTTTCTTGTTTTTGATGACCTTGACAATTTGAAGATTACTGGTCAGAAATTTTGTGGGATGCTGCTTAACTGGGACTTCCCCAATTTTTCTTTTTTCAAACTGGCTGACGTTGTGCATTTTGTGGAGGAAAACTACAGAAATAAATTGTCATCTTCATCCCATGATGCTAAGGGCACACACGTGGCCTACTACTGCTGATGTTTCTACCCTGATTACCAAAACAGGAAACCGTTTGTTACGTTTTCTCATTGTAAAGTTACTCCTTCTCACTTCCCACATAATCATACTGTACTTTGGGGAAGGCACTACCTATTCTGTGCAATCTGTACTTGAGAAATGAAAAGTTAAGCTCTACGTCCTTGAGGATGGAAGGTCTACACAAATTATTTGGAGTTCTTCTGCCTGGGAGCCTTGTCTCTTGTCCTCCATTTATTTATTTACTCAATCATTTGCTTACATCCATATGGACTCATAGATTTTATCTTTGTAGTCTGAGTGATAATTCAATACCACTGTAAGGAATCTGTTGTTGAAATTGTTCCAGCTTTGGTCACCAGGTGCTCCGCGTCAGTTGACTTCTGTGTCCCTTTGTCTTAACTTACCTGCATCACTGCAGATGTATGTAATTTCTGAGAACTGCCTTACTGCTCGTCACTACAGATGTTTCTGGCCCCAACTTTTTCTTCCATAGTTTAAAGCTAAATCGTAAGCGGATCCAGAGGTAACATAAATACTGGGTTAAATTCAGATGAAAGAGTTATACGAGGTAAGGGGGGGAAAGAAAGACACTGAAGAGCAGAGAAGGATGTGGAAGGGGAGTCTAGGGAAAAGGCAAAGGCACAGGAGGTTGGCTTAGCCTAAATTTCAGGTTTGCTCAAGGCTATTTCCATGTATTATTCTACATTCAATTTTCCTACACAATTAATTCACAGATGATTTTTTTCTACTTTTATTTCTAAAATTCAACCATTTCATGTCCTTAGAAAATATAATATTAAAATTATGAGGAAGAGGCACTATATTGCATGTATTAAATTCTTTGTTCTTCCTACTCACTGGTCATGTGATCTGTGGTAGGTTCAACCTCTCTGAGTTTCAACTTATTCAAAATGAGCATAAATGCAGATAGATGGACAGTCAGAAAGATAGAAAAAAGAGGTTCCTGTGAACATCCAATAAGTTGACATATAAATGTCTGACATAAGGAGAATGTCTGACAGCAGGTGGGCGGGTTTCAGTCAATACTGCCTCACCTCTGCAAATCTACTTTGGTGTGTGCACCTGTCCATTTAAGTATCTACTTCATCAGTTTTGGGAGATCCCAATATCAAAGTATTCTGTGTGCATATAAGTTATGCCCAAAGCAAATGAAATCTTTGAAATGCCCAGTCATGGTCAAAACATTTGAATTTTCACATAATTCTTTGAATATTTTGTCCCTGTAAAGATTACGAAGGATTAGACATTTATGTTCACAAAAGTGAACAGCACTTTAAAACCCCTAAAATTTACTGTTTTCAAAGGACATCTTCTCTGGTGTCAATTCTAATATGAAATGATTATTTACCACTCATATCAAACCAGGTGTGCTTTCTAACTCAGCTCTTTCATTGGCCATGACATCTTGATGCTCGAATGCTTGATGCTTTATTAAAAATAAAGGATAAAATCAGAACATTGTTATAAAAATCTAAGTATAATTTTAAGGACCAGATGCTCTTTATAAGTGGAAAACACTTTACAGTAGGCATATGCAAAGAATCTTACATTCCAAAGAAAATAAGAAAAAAAAAGAAAAACTGCTCCACATATAACAATAAATAATGTATCATCTATAAGGTTTCATTTTAAGCAAATTAATAAACTTTTAGGTGACCATAAACTGACAGCGACTAATATCAACAAAGTAATAATTGATATAATTTCAAAAGTTGAGATACTACTTCCCAGTTGAAAATCTACTGAATTAGAACCCAAATACTCATGGTTGCCTTTTTCTAATAGCAACTTTGATTAGAACCAAGGTAAACATTTAAGGGAAACTAATTCTCCTTGTGTAAATAGTTCACATTTTATAATCCATGTTAGATGAGGCAAAGAAGGACAATATGAAAAGAAATCAGTTAGATTTCAAAAATGGTTTGTGGTTTATTCAAGTCAAAAGCAATCTAGAAGTTAACATAGCGATTCCTTCCAGCACTACTCCGGTATGTATGGACTAGGAAATGAAGCACTCTCCCAAAGGGTGCGATTTATACATTAGCTTGAAGAACTAAAGAAACGTCTGCAAGTGGCCTAGAAAGGGGGTGGCAATAGATGCAATTCATTTACATTATGGTGCATTGTTAACAGAGGACTGCACCTCCTCAGGACTCCAACTGGACTGTTATAAAATGAAGGGTGCTATTCAGGGGGTGGGAAATGTATGTGCAAACGAGCCTCTTTATTAAACTGCAACCTGCCTCCATAAAACTCCACTGGAGAATGGCAACCGATGGCAGAAAACAGAGAACATAGTTAGGGTTAACCCAGGGTGCCACAATCCCCAGTAGAAACCTGTTTTTCCTCAGCAGAGTTATAGCAAGTATTGTGTGCACTCTCTTGTTTAGCAAAAATAAATAAATGACTAAGAAATAAAACACGTCTCTTAGAATGTTTCTCGAAGGCACATTGGATACTGAAACTTTAACATTTAGAAAAATTTGTTTTTGACTCAAAAATAAGCTAGGCTATCAAGAGAAAAGACACTGAAATATAGATGATGATGATGATGATAGCTATCAATTCTGCTTCATCAGGTCCCATGCTAGGCCATTACAAATGCTCATTTACTTCTGTATTATACTTTTTAAAAATATTTGACTAGTATTAGAATTGCTTGGCTTTAAGAAGAACTCCAGGCCAGGCATGGTGGTTCACACCTATAATCCAAGCACTCTAGGAGAGTGAGACAGCTGGGTCGTCAGAGCTCAGGAGCTCAGGAGACCAGCCTGAGTAAGAAGGAGACCCCATCTCTACTAAAAATAGAAAAACTAGCTGGTGTTATGGTGGGTACCTGTAGTCCCACCTACTGTGGAAGCTGAAGCAAGGTGATTGCTTAAGACCAAGAGTTTGAAGCTGTTGTGAGCTACAACACCATGGAACTCTAGCCAGGGTGAAAGATTAAGATTCTGTCTCAGAAAAAAAAAAAAAAAAAAGGAAGAGTTGCTTTGAGTGATTCTTGAGACTGTTCTTTCTCATTCAATTTCAGAAATTTGTAGAAGATTCAAATAAAACCATTTAAGAGAGATTTTTGGTAATATCGCAGACAGCTAAAATTACTGGATTTTTTTTTCTTTTTTTTGAGACAGAATCTTACTTTGTCACCCTTGGTAGAGTGCTGTTGCATCATAGCTCACACCAACCTCAAACTCCTGGGCTTAAGTGATTCTGTTGCCTCAGCCTCCCAAGTAGCTGGGACTGAAAGCGCCCATCACAATGCCTGGCTATTTTTAGAGACGAGGTCTCCCTCTGGCTTAGGCCAATCTGGAAACTGTGAGCTCCGGCAATCCACTCTCCTCTGCCTCCCAAGTGCTGGGATTATAGGCATGAGCCACCGCACCCAGCCAAGTTACTGGATCTTTAAATTAAAGATTTGTTATATAATACCTAAATACTCTTTTGTTATATGTGATATGTGAATCATATATGAAATATTATATACAAAGAAACACATTTATTTATTCAATATTTTTAAATAATTTTATCAACTGAAAAGAAAATAAGGAATACATAAATCTAAAAACTACCTTAAGTAATGTCCTGGTCTTCAACTTTGAAAACATGTACAAAACAAGGTAAGTATGAGTTTGAAATTATAAGGACTCAGTGGATCTTGGAAGCAAATCTTAGAGTCCAACCAAGGAGGGGGTATCTTATAAGACACTCATGTGTAAATCTGGGAATTCAGTAACCTACACTTCACTGGTAGGATAAATGAGAAACAAAATTTTAGATAAATAGACCTCACTCAGTGGTTATTAAGGAAAATGTCTTTTTCAAATGTTAGCACTAGGACAGAAAAAGAATCTCATCACAGTATGTATAGCTCTAAGCTGGCCCTCCTCTAAATCTAAAGCCTGAATTTGTGATACCCAAGTGATCTAAAAATTCCTAAGCTGAGAATTTATTTTAATGTGTTTTTGGCCCTGTAATGTCTTTAGGCACCTTTCAGAAACAAAGCCAAACCAAATAAAACCAAATCAAAAGAAAATAAGACTTCTCCCTGGAAGACTTCATTGTCAAACCAGGCCTCAAAAAATTCCCACTGATAAAGTTTTAAAAAATATTAGTTTGCAGTCAAAACACATACAGATATACCATACACACCAAACACACGTAACACAAGAAAACAAAGGCACTCTGAGTTTAAAAAGTAGAATTAGACTGCAAATCTTTCCCTTTAAAAAATTTATTAGGTTATTCAGTATGAAATGTCCAAATTCCTTATGTACATGTTTGACAATTTCAATCTCTGACATTTCACTTTGACACTTCTTATTTATTTTCATTGTGACAGTACATCCTCATTCTTTCAAATGCATATTTTACTCCTGATTATATTTCACTTTTTTTAGAGTAAGTTTTGTGAAACCACGGATAAGTCAAAAAAACATGTTAATTTCGAATATGAGTTCAGTCTTGGAACCAGTGCAGTCCAGACAGCTCAAAATAATCAACAAAGTGTTTGGGAAGGATGTGGTTAATGAATGCACAGTACATCAAAGGTTTGATAAGTTCCATTCTGGTGATTTAAATTTTTTTTTTAAATTCAGCCTCCATAGAGACTGTCAAAAATTGCCAGTGCCGACTATATTTCAAGTCATCATGATGGGCTATTGGGAAAACTTTCAATTAGCAATAATCGCACCTAAGATAAACCTCATTGGCTACAATATTGCCACTGTGCAAAGCTGGTGGTGATTTAAATCTTGAAAATGATCCACATGGATGACCTGAGACCACCAAAGTAGATAACGATGAGCTGAAAACTATAGTGGAAGTGACTCTGTTTCAATCTTCTATCTCAACCTGAATTAGCAGCAACAGTATTCCAACAATATTGGAAAAAAAAATATACCAACCACAAACTATGAAATAAATGTGTATAATATGTTTAAAGAAATGAAGGGGAGGGAACCTGCAGCCTTGGGGTCACCTGTGGCGTTTTGATGGAATCCAAATTTTACAAAACAAATCCTTTTATTAAAACAGGTGTGGCAAAGAACAATGAAGCTTTTCCTGCCTTCATTGGCTCTTCATAAAAGAAAAAACAGAAGATTGCATGTTCCCCAGCTCTTAAAAGACAGAATTACAAGAAAGAAAAGAAAGCTGCAAAAAAAGCATCCAGAATGCAGTATAGAGAAATAAGGAGGGGAAAATATGATGGGGAAAAAATATAAATACATGAAAGAGTAAGAGGATCTAACTAATTCTCTTAGTGCCACAAGGAATGAATGGAGAGAAACAATGAAGGAACAGCAATACCTGAAGAAACAAGTCTGATTATTTTCTGGAACTTGTACAAGACACCAATTCACAGATTCCAGAATATTAAGGTAAGACGAATGAAAAATAAAATCCAAGTTTACACACATCATAGTGAAACTACTGAATATCAAAGAAAAAGTCAAAGTCTTAAATGCATCCACAAAGAATGATTATTTTCAAAAGAACAACTGCAAAAATGGGTAACTTCTTAACAGCTAAAGAAAAGGCAGAAATTCAAGAAAACATATTAATGGTTCAATTTCTTCAAATAAAAACAATGATATGACAGGGAAATTCTGAAATGTAAAAGGAATTATTAGCATATAAATGTTTATAATGTGCATATAGATTATAGTCTAATCAAATGTCAGATTTATAAAATAAACATAGTGATGAAAATGTGTGGAGTTAAGCAACGAAAAATTCATTACAAGGTAAAATATAATGTAAGAGAAGAATGGGCTAAGTGAAAGTGTTTAAAGTTTTTAAATGGCAAAGAAGTTATATATAGTGATGAATTTATACTTTGATAAGAAAGTATGTTACAACTTCTAAAGTAGACAGTAATGAATAGACATTATTATATAACTTACCTGGTAGAGAAAATGGAAAAAAATATTGAATCAATATAAAAGAAAACAGAAATGAGAGAAAAAAATACAAAGCAAAGCCAGGATGAGGATAAGGTTCAGAATTAAAAAGTAGAACTAAAACTCAGTATATGATCAGTCAAAATAATTGCAAATGATCCAGTGCCTCAGTTAAAATGCAAAGACTGTCAGACTTTTTTTAACCCAAACTTTATGCTCTTAGAAAAGTAACTCACAATACTCAAAGAATGAAAAGAAAGCTTGTGTTTCTCTATTCACATCATGGAAAAATAAAACAAAATATCAGGTAAAGACCTTCTTTAGAATTCAAAAAGGTGGCTCGGCGCCTGTGGCTCAAGCGGCTAAGGCACCAGCCACATACACCTAAGGTGGCGGGTTCGAATCCCCAGCCTGGGCCCGCCAAACAACAATGATGGCTGCAACCAAAAAATGGCCAGGCGTTGTGGCAGGCGCCTGTAGTCCCAGCTACTTGGGAGGCTGAGGCAGGAGACTCGCTTGAGCCCAGGAGTTGGAGGTTGCTGTGAGCGTGATGCCATGGCACTCTACCCCGGGGGATAGCTTGAGGCTCTGTCTCAAAAAAAAAAAAAGAAAAAAAAAGAATTCAAAAAGGTATTTACAATTTACATATTGATAAATATGACATTGCCCAAGAGCAATGATTCTGTAACATATGTTTCATGTAACTAAGATTAACTGAACCATAGAAAATGATAAACACATTCACCTTCCTACTGTAAAATCTGATATCTAAAACATTTCTAAGTGTAGCCCACATGAGAGAAAAACACAATTAACTGCAAGTGGGGTGGAGGAGAAAGGAGGACAGGTAAACTCTCACCTAATGTGCCCAATGTAAAGGAATACAGCACACCCCCTGGGTGAAAGGCTCAACTACAACTTGATCTTTACCTTAGAAATGCAAACAATGTGGCCTAATCATTTGTACCCTCATATAAATCTGAAATAAAAATAAATAAGTAAAATATTGCTAAGTGTAATAAGAATCAAACAGCAAATCAAACAAATCAAACTTCATCCAATGGACACAGAAAAACAGTGTACCTCATGACTATAGAATATGCTACCTTTTCTTGGACATACTGAGTACTTGTGGAAATTGAATACATATTCAACTATAAAGCAAGTTTCAACGAATTGCAAAGGATTGCTATCAGAAAGACTACATGTCTTTGTTGCAGACATTTAAACCAATGAATTTAATATGAATAAGTTCACACTGATAAACTAGAGCGCATAGATGCAATGTAAATATTCCTAGAAAAATGTAACCTATCAGGACTGTCTCAAGGAGAAACATGATCTCTAAAATGGTCTCTAAAAATACCATTTTAACAAAAAAAAATCACTGGGATTCTTTTGGAGATGAAGAGAATGTTCTGTTTATTGATGGTACAGGTGGTTTCACAGGTGTTTGTATGTGGCAAAACTCATCTTTAAAAGGATGCAGTTTGTTTTGCAAAAATTACACCTCAATAAAATTAATTTAAATTTTTTTCCTCAAAGAAGAAATAGACCCAAACAGTTGTGGTGAGTTCTGCCAAACATTCAAAGAATAAATGATTTTGAATTTAACATAAATTATCCTGTAGAAGAAACACTAACTATTTTTATGAAGCAAGCATAACCTTGATAATAATCAGACATAGCTAGGACTGCATGAAAAAGAAAGAAAATACGTACCAATGTTACTTAGGAACATATTAGCCAACTTACAAAAAATTAATAGTAATGGCACTTAACACTTCCACAGTTCTTATTCTGTGTAAGGTACTCTTAAAGGTATCTTAAATACGGTAATTCATGTTATTCCTCACAACAATCTTATGAGTTGGATAGCATTACCTCCATTATCCCCATTTTATAGATTAAAAACCTAAAATATAGAAAAATAAGTACCTTGCTAAATATCACTGATATGAGTCAACACAAAATAAATAACACCTACTTAGTCCATTTGCATTGAACTGAGGGGCCCCGGGGAGGCCAATACCAGCGAGCCCTCCACAAGGAGAGACCATGGTGTGGACCTGCCAATGATTCTCACAGGCTTTTATTGAAATCTGAAGCATGAAAAAATACAGCACAGTGGAAAGCTTCAAAGAAAGAGTCAAGGTTGAAAAACCAGGAGTTAACCTTTAACTCTATGATTCAACTCTTCACACATTCTGTTAACTACACCACTGTCTTGCCTTTTTCTTATCACCTCTCAATAACTTAGTGTTGGGACAGTGTTCTGTGTCTAGTGAGTATTATTTTGAGTACTCAGAGCCAGCAGTGATGCTTGGCTTTTTCCTAGATTATTCTGTTTATAGTGCCTAGCATTTTTAACCCTATACTCTATCCTATAAACATCTCAGAAAGCACTAGAATTCAAATTCAAACCTGAATAACCCAGTTTTAAAGGTCATCTCTAACTATCAAACCATACTGTCACCATTATGATCAATATGAATTTATAAGGAAATAAAATTTTGTAATTTAATACAGTTAGAGATTGGAGAAGAACAAGAAGTTGACCCTGTTAATAGATAGAATGAAATCATTTGATAAAATTCAACATCCATTTGTTAAAAAAAGAATACTTTTAGAGAGTACAGCTAAAATGGAACTTTCCTTTTACTCATAATGTACTTTGTAAAATCTACAGCAAACATTATAATTACTAATAAAATATCAAAATGATTTTTCTATAAATTATAATTCAGCAATGCTCGGTTGATTACCATTCTAATCAACATTCTTCCAAAATTCCTATACTGTGCAATAAGGCAAGAAAAATGAAACTAAAAGTATAAATAATTTCGCCAAAAAGTTTTCATTATTCAGAATATAAAAATTTGTAATTATTCATATCTTACAGATAATGTGTCAGAATAGAAACTTATTTAACAAGTTTGCTCACTACTTCCATATACAAAACTCAACTGTACGTCTATATTTTGCCAGCATACACACAAAATATAATAACAGAGTTTTGATTTACATTAACCTCACAATACAAAGAACCTAGGAAATATGGAACACATATTTGCAAGATATTAATTGGTAAAGTTACAAAATTTTATCGAAAGATATTAAAGATGCTCTAAATAAATGAAAAGAATGTTATGTGAACGGGTTAGAGAAATTATTATCATGAAGATATCTATTTTATCCAGATTGGTCAATAAATTTATAGTAATTGTACTTAAATTCTCAAGAATATTTTACTTGGAACTTGAAAAATATACCTAAAATTTACACAGAGGACTAGAAGGCGTCAGCGGCCCAGACAATCCTGGAAAACAAGAGCAAAGAGAGAGGATTTATTATTGTGCCATTTAACAATTAATTTTTTTCTTCTTTCTTAAAAATTTGAGATGTAATTTGCATACCACAAAATTTATAATTTTAATGTGTACAATTTAGCGGTTCTTACTATTTTCATAAAGTGATGCGCCATCACCCTATCTAACTCCTTGTATAACAAAGAATCTCTCACCCATTAGCCATTACTCCCCACTCCCTCTTGGTTCCAGTTTCTGGTAAACTCATCTAATTTTTGTATTTTTGGATTGGCCTATTCTTGACATTTTAAATTACAAGAAAATATGCAATATGTGGTGTTTGCTGTTTGGCTTCTTTCACTTACCATGATGTTTTTAAGGTTCATCCTTGTGTAGTGTGTATCAATATTTCATTTTTTTAAATGTCTCAATAATATTCTGTTCTAAGAATACATCACCATGAGGTGGTGCCTGTGGCTCAGTGGGTAGGGTGCCAAGGGTGGCAGGTTCAAACCCAGCCCCGGCCA